GGGAGGAAGATGAGAAAGAGCAAGTATTTCAGATGGTAAGAGTAGTAGAGGGTTTCAGGGAGAGGAAGGTAGAAGATAGTTTACAAAGCAAACCTCCTCCAATTCACTAGCTTATACTGTATTGAAATACTGAAACAATTAATATATTTTCATACTTAAGGAACAGTAATGGGGAGATCTAATAAGGTTATTTATGAAATATAAGGATATTTCTAGAGATACAACTGGATGTACTGTTGCAAACATATCCCGGGTGAGATTCCCCAAAATGTTTAAATTCCCAACAGGATACTCTAAACTGTTAAATTCCCAACTGAGTCTCTTCTTCTTTAATCAATTTAAGATGGCACCGACACAGGGCGACTCTTTGTGTGCTCTGTACAGCAGATTTTATTCTCACATTTCCTATAATCGTTCTGCATTTTTAAACCTCACCTACTTTGCAGCCATAAATTTGTATTTCTCGCTCTGTTCTATCACCTTATGATCTTTGCACAGTGTGATTTGCCTGTACTGCATGCAAAACAAAATTTTTCACTGTACCTAGATACATGTGACAATAATAAATCAAATCAAATCAACCATTTTCTCATTTTGCAGCAAGGTTAATATAAAAAGCATTCCTTTTATACACTTTTCTCCAGACCATACGAACTTAGGTTTTAAAAAGAGGCAACTTAACCAGGATATTTTGATGTAACAAAAAGAGTGAATTTGTTACTTACTGTATGTAAGAAGAATACTAATACAGTGCACATACACATGGATTAGAAATGAGTGGCAAGTCCAACAAGATAATAATTTTTAAAAAAGTTATATAGACCAGACTCTGAGTTATTCACAAAGAGCAGATAGCTGAACATGGTGGGCGTTGAGAGGTTACTGGTAGCATTCACGTAGGTAGTTGAACAGTTGGTTTCAAGATCCTTAGTTTTGCAAGTTGGTTGAAATTCAGTGCTTGTGATTTCTTTTGACACTGATTGAATTCCAGCACTCAGAGTGAGAGGGAGTTCTTTTGTTGTTGCGTTTCTTTTGTGTGGTTTGCAGAACTCTTGGATGGTCTTTACCTGAAATACAAGGGTGACTAAGGTGTAGTTCTTCAACCATGACCTTCACGGTATGCTAACAATCAATCATAGGCTAGTACAGTGAGAACGTTTAGTCCCGCATTCCAGTAGAGATGAAAATTTAGAGGGAATATCACAAAATGTGTCTGCAGTTTGGGACCTAATCTGTTGAGCCAAGGGTCATCAGTAGCCCCTTCGGTTGTATTCGTAGTCAGAAAAGATCATAGTGAAATCTTTTTGACTTGCTTCTTCCTCCCTTTTGAAGGGCTATTGTTTTAAGTTCCCTTCATATCTTTTGGTGTGAATTTCTGTGTATTTCTCCCTCCAAACAGCCACTTAATTTCTATCCACAATCATTTTGTATCACTTCTTATACTTTTCCACAAAAGTTGATAGCTTGTCATTTATTTAGAACTTGGTGTCTCTGTGCCTATTTTGGACAACTGTTTGTAAGCCAGTAATAAACCAAAGGTATGCTTCTCTTCTGTAAAGTACAATCTCTTATGTTTGTTTGTTTTTTTCAGAAGTACCTGATTGATATATTTATTCCTGATTTGTCTTCCTGAAGAAGACTAGCTCTTACACCGATATCACTTGCATCAATAGCTATTTTAAATACTTACTTAAAGCTTGGAGCTACAAGCTCAAACTCATTTGTTAAAATGGCCTTCAGGTTTTTAAGACCAGTTGGGCATTTTTCAAGCCATACTACTTTTGCATTTTTTCTGTAGTAGTTCTGAAAATGATTCAGCTACAGCACTGAACTTTGTTTCAAATCTTTACTACAAACCACACATTCCCAGTAACCTCAGGATTTCCTATTTTGTTGTGGTAATGGGGAACTGTATTATTGATTTTATCTTTGGGGCATTAGGCAGTACTTGTCCTTGACCTACTCCATGTCCTAGGTAGGTTATTTGTTAGCTAACTGTATTTTCCAGAACAGCACTTCCATTTGCTTCAATGCGTTTCCCAGGTGTCACCATACAATGAGTATTTGTCTAAGTAGACTACACAATTCTGTGTGCCTCATTTATCTGTTCCATCAGCCTATGAAAAATGACAGGAACACTTGAGTGTGAATGACATAATTTGACACTGGTATTGCCTGTGTGGAGTTACAAAGGTGGCGATTTCCTTTACAGGAGCAGTCAAGGATACTACGGCTAACCTTTAAGTAATTTATGTTGGTAATGTAGATGACTTTTCCTATCCTATATATCTGCAATCATCAAGCCGAGGTATTGGGTAGAAATTGTCTCTGGTCGCTATTAACATTTTAGTCAGCAGAGACTTGTGGGGCTGTTGGCTTGAGTATGTGCACAACCAGCTGTTGCTGCTAGATTCCAACATGTAGTTGATCTTCTCCCAAGCCAGCTTTTCTGGGCCTAACTGAAATATGTGGTTTTATGGACAAGGCCACTCTCACAGCCAGACTTGACTCTACAGATGTCTTTAAATGAGGTTAGCAACCTCATTAAGTTGTTCACTATTTTGCACCTAATTGAGGGAATAAGGAGTCAGTATTTCAGTATTGGTTATCTAGGTTATAGGGGCTTCAGTGTGGGCCTCATCCACATCTCCCTCTAGTTCATGCAGTTACCCTACATCCTCTAAGTTAGTAGCAATGGACAGGACAATACCTGCTTGTCCCCTTCTTGGTGTGATATTGCTTTATCATGTTGTATTTGTTATCTTTCCCGCCTTACCTGGGGTCTCAGTCAAGTAATTCACTTCCCTCAGTTTCTTTGATACTCAATAGAAGCCACTAAACTAGGTTTTTAAGCGTCCAATTTATGTTAGTACTCGCTAGTACGAGTACCAACATAATTTCGTGGATGATAGGTTTGGGTCATGGCATGTTTATTTGCTTTTCATTTCATCACTGTTTGGAAGAGTTGCAAGTGTTCTCGGGATACTTCACAGGATGGGGAGAGTCACTTTTGGAAGGTCAATACGGAGACTTCCTCCTTCTATACTAGAAAGCTCTGCTAATTAATTTCAGAGACCCTTCCACTTGGCGGGCATAAACTGATTCAAATAGAGTAAACTCAGTGGACACATTGGCTGAGTCCTTCATAGCAAACCGAAGAAGATATAGTCCTTTATCCTAGTTGTGGGGGTACTCATGGCAGTATGCCTTGATCATTGTTTTTGTGGTCTGGTGTTAGAATTCTGGTGCCCCTGTGACTGCTGATCGTACACTAAAGATTTCAGCTGAGTCGCACCCAGGTTACCCAAAACATTTTGCAATATTTTGCACATGAAGTTTCAGACCTGGTCCAACGGGATCTTGATGGGCAGACTATACCGGGTGAAGAATTGAGTCAATTCCCTCTTCTCTGTTTTGGTGGTTATGGTTCTCAGCTGAACAGCCTCTGGAAAATGGGTGGCCATGTCCGTGATGGTAAGATTTTACAACTAAACCCTTTTGTTTTGGACAGGTGTCCCACACAGTTCATTAAACCTTGCTGAATGGTTCCCTAAAAGACGGTGTGCGAACCATAAGTGTGGCGCAGGTCTTATTTTAATTTAGGTTTCTCCAACAAACTGGCAAGTGTGGCAAGTCCTGCGGAACCTTATTATATCCTCATAGAGTTGTGACCAGTAAAAATGCTGGCTGATGCGAGTTTGGGTTTTAAGTGAAATGGTATACCCAAACATAGGGCTTTTGTGTGCTAGATGTAATATTTCACCTCAGTACTTTGGCAGTACCACTACCTAGTGGATCACTGCTCTGTCCTCATTTGCAGGTCTATGAGGGTGGTTTCCATATCTTCATTAGCAGCCAATTTCTAATATAATAGCATTCAGGAACTGCTTCTGCCTCAGCTTCGACATGAACAGTCTAAGCTATTGTTTTTGACAATTGATCAGCTTGTTGGGCTGCTACAAAAAAAAGATTTTTTTATTATGTCATTGGTGAGTTCAGATTCCTTAAAAAAAAGTTTCAGATAACTGGACTGGTTGGTCTCCTGCTTGCAGTAGACTCATATTCTACTGGCTGAACTTGTGTGGCTATACAATGTGTGATCACATAGTCAGGGAAAATGCCAGACATTTTCTCATGCAAATGTTTGGTCTCCCTGGTGTTAATTAGCTCCCCAGAGATGCCTGGGGATGTTAATACCTTTGATTCGAGCAGGTCATTGCCGAGGAACAGATTGAACATGTCCAAAATCAAAATGAGGTCAAGCCCACAGTCACTGGCCCTGACATAAGGTCGCACTCCAGATGTCCCCTGTTTAAAAACTGTACCATTCTTATTTTTCTATAATTTTGACTTTTGACTGAAATTAGAAAATAGCTGGTGCGGGGAATTAGCTCAAATGGTAGAGCGCTCGCCTAGCATGCGAGAGGTAGTGTAATGGACATTCTCCACTTTGGTTTGGGGTGGCACAGTGGTTAGAACTGCTGCCTCACAGCACCAGGGTTCGATTCTTGTATTTGATTCCACCCTCGGGTGACTGTCTGTGTGGAGTTTGCATGTTCTCCCCATGTCTGTGTGGGTTTCCTCTGGGTGCTTCTGTTTCTTCCCACAGTCCAAAGATGTGCAGGCTAGGTGGATTGGCTATGCGAAATTGACCGTAGTGTTCAGGGATGTGTAGATTAGGTGGGTTATAGTGGGATGGGTCTGGGTGGGATGCTCTGACGTTTGGTGTTAACTTGTTGGGCTGAAGGGCCTGTTTCCACACTGTAGGGATTCTATGATTAATGATGAAAAGCCAATGATTGTTGAAGGATTGCTATACTTTTTAAAAGCATGTTACCAGACTTTCATTATAGGTGCTGTTTGCACAGCTGTTGGTTCAAGTAGTAGGGAAAGCCTAGTTATAGACAAGCTGGAGCCACAAATGGAGATTGGGTAAGCAAATAAGTAGCTGATTGGTTGTTATCTGTGACAATGACTTACTGCTTGACAACGATGTGTGATTGGATCCCAGCTGAATAGCTTGGAGATATGTTTTTTTGAGTCAGAGGCCATCAGCCCTCTGGAAGCAAAGGAACTGTTTATGCTTAAGTTAAAAACTACCTCAAACCTGAAGATAGCAGTTTATTTCTTCTCAGCAGTTACTGTAAGTCATGAATTTTAATTAATAAGTCAGAGACTTTTATTCATATAAGATAAAGTGGGTTCAACTCCTACCACTTCAAATTTAGGTCATACTAGTAGTCAATTGCAGTAAAATTTCCCTGCACTTATACTCCAAACCCCTTGAAATAAGGACCAAAATTCCAGGACTGAAATTGAGTGTGACATCCTGTTCCACTCTCCACCACTATTAACAGAAATTTGCATGTGCAGAGTAGCATAATATCCAAGGTTCTAGGAGGCTCCTGACATCCTTGGAGGTGAACTCTAACATTACTTCACATCTTCAAGGGATGAACAGGAAAAATAAGAACAGGAAAAATAAAAACAGAAAGGCACCATTGATTGAACACAAATACCAGTATTTGAGGAAGAGACTTCCTTCACCACCTAGACATGAAATCTATAGTCTATATTTTAACAATGGGTGCCTGACAGCTTGGTCAGTAAGTTTCCTGTCAAGGACAACAGTTTCTGTCCCTACTGGAAAGAGATTGTGCTGTTTGCTCCTCCATTCCTATTAGCACTTGCTGCTCACTCATGTTAAATCCAAAATGATATATCTAGATGAGTGTTTTGGAAAGGTAAAATAGCATTATTGTGATTGTGAGTGAATCAGATGGGTGAATGGTCTATCAGAAGATACCAGGTTGTTCATTGAATGTTTTGTACTGTGAGCACCTCTAAGCAATGTCTTAGAAAAATTGTATAACTTTAATTTATAGTCTGGAGGCTCAATTGTTTACGTGCTTTGTGAGATTCGTAGAATCATAGAATCCCTACAGTGTGGAAACAGGCCCTTCGGCCCAGCAAGTCCACGCTGAACTTAAGAGCATCTCACCCAAACCCGTTCCCTCTATAAACCCACCTAATCTACACATCCCTGAACACTGGACAATTTAGCATGGCCAGTCCACCTAGCCTGCACATCTTTGGACTGTGGGAGGAAACCGGAGCACCTGGAGGAAACCCACGCAGACACGGGGAGAATTTGCAAACTCCACACAGACAATCGTCCAAGGGTGGAATCGAACCCAGGTCCCTGGCACTGTGAGGCAGCAGTGCTAACACCGTGCCAGCCATTGTAGAACCCTTGAGATAGAGATGGGGATTAGTAGTTTAGTGCATTAGTATGTGTGCACCAACAAAGTGAGGCAGGTGTGTTAAACTCAAATAGGAAATACTACAAGACTGTTGGAAACTGAGTTTAAGAAACACATGAGATAACAAGGTCTAGAGCTGGATGAACACAGCAGGCCAAGCACCATCAGAGGAGCAGGAAAGCTGACGTTTCGGGCCTAGACCCTTCTTCAGAAATAGGGGAGGGGAAGGGGGTTCTGAAATAAATAAGGAGAGAGGGGGAGGCGGTTAGAAGATGGATAGAGGAGAAGATAGGTGGAGAGGAGACAGACAGGTCAAAGAGGCAGGGATGGAGCCAGTAAAGGTGAGTGTAGGTGGGGAGTTAGGGAGGGGATAGGTCAGTCCAGGGACGATGGACAGGTCAAGGGGGCAGGATGAGGTTAGTAGGTAGGAGAAGCAGGTGGGAGGAGGGGAGAGGTGGGAGGAAGGACAGGTTAGGGAGGCGGGGACAAGCTGGGCTGGTTTTGGGATGCAGTTGAGGGAGGGGAGATTTTGAAGCTTGTGAAGTCCACATTGATACCATTGGGCTGTAGGGTTCCGAAGCGGAATATAAGGTGCTGTTCCTGCAACCTTCGGGTGGCATCATTGTGGCACGGCAGGAGGCCCAGGATGGACATGTCGTCTGAGGAATGGGAAGGGGAGTTGAAATGGTTCGCGACTGGGAGGTATAGTCGTTTAGTGCGAACCGAGCGTAGGTGTTCCGCAAAGCGGTCCCGAAGCCTCCGCTTGGTTTCCCTGATGTAGAGGAGGCCACAACGGTAACAGCGGATACAGTATACCACATTAGCAGATGTGCAGGTGAACATTGCTTGATGTGGAAAGTCTTCCTGGGGCCTGGGATGCAGGTGAGAGGGGGAGATGGACCAAATGGCCTCTTCTCACTGTATGATTCTATGATTCTCAGACTCTCCAGCATCTGCAGTTCCTACTATCACTTAAGAAACACATGAGTTTCTGAAATTAAAGTAATAGTATGTTGAGTTTGATTTAGGTGTCTCAGGGAGAGATACCAGCTGACGAAAAAGCATCTTGTCCTTGTCAGAAGGAAACCTATCACGACTGTGAGCAAGAAGACATGGTGTGAAACAAGTGATACATTTTTGTTGGGGTTTTGGTGTTTGTAAGGATACCCCTAGGATAAAGGGTATAGTGTGAGTTTAAATCCTTTTGTGTTTGAAATGCAACTTTTCCAATATTTTTTCTCATGCAATAATATAGTTTTTTTTTGTTGAATAAATATTTTATTCCATGTCTTAAAAGTACACCAGTGGACTCTTGTAAATGATCTCCACAGTTAAATAAAAACAAAGTTAGGACTATCAAGCAAGTGCAGGATTGAAATTGGCAAACATTTTTTAATCAAAAGCCTGTGATTTCTTTGAGAAACAAGAATGTGAAGGTGCTAGCATCGGAATATGAGTTGCTGTGAAGTATATTTCAGCGGTTGAAATTTTCGAATGGTTTTTGCTGTTGCTTGGACTTTTCTGGGACACACAAACTGTACCAAGGACTTATTTGCAATTTTTGACTAATATTAAACTGAAAGAGTTTGTGGGTAAATTGAAGATAGAAATAAATGCAGATCTTGCAAAGGTGATATGGTTAAAGTAATACCCAGCATTTAGAACTAAAAGGAAACAAACCTTAAATTGATGTATCACAGCTAGAAGTAACTAAGGTTCAGGGGTAATTGGAAAAAAATTCTTTAATTGGAGGAAAAAGAAAGAAATGAAAAAAGTGTATTTTTTCCTACTTTCTTTCCAGTGCACAAGAGCAAAAGCAAAACTGGATTTATAAAGAGTTGGCAAGGGAGAAGAAAGAGAAAAGGAAAATGAAATAGATGGAAAAGCTGAACTTGGAAGAAAGGAGAAAGAAAATGGAAGACAAATGGAAATGTGAAAATTTGAAACCCATAAAGAAAAATTGGACAATGGATTTGGCTAAAGAAAAGTATATAAGAAAGGGGAGATAGTAATTTGATTTAACTAAAAGTCTTCATTTAATGCATCAATTTACAGAGGATGGACTTGAATGATAACTGAATGTTGAAATGGCTGAACTTTAGCATTACATAGCGTTCTGATAGTTATAGCTATGAACGTGTACACCAGTCGGCAGATTATGAAGCTGTGAAAGGGCAATGCTCATAAGCTTGTCCCTGAATTAAAATTTAGGACTGTAAAATGAAACATAATCAGACATCTGTTGAATTTGTGAAAGAAAATTAAATGATGTGTGATGAGTGGCTTCAATCACTGAAGTTAGAACAAAAAGAGAATGAAGAGAAGTAATGATTATGAAAGATTTCCAAAAGTATTTCATTAAGGCCCTGGCCAAGAATCCCCACTTTGTTACATTTCTAATTGGGATGCCACAAAGTGTTAGACTCCTGGGAGGGATGTACTGGTTCCCATTCTTTATTCCATCCTCATTTGGTTGCAAAGGATAACTTAAAAAGGATCCCTTTCTTTGTGGATACCTTCTCCCCTGACCCAAATGAACAAGTGTTTTAAAAGGACACAATTTAACCAGCTTTCCTGAATTAACAAAGCATGAAGTTTATTAATTATTAAATGAAAAAAGAATTAATAACACAACACACATACAGACAGCTTAGAAATAAGATGGGAGTCCAAAAGGATAACATTTTACAAAAGAGACACATGGATCACTCTCTGATTTGTTTGAGAAGAGTGGATGGTTGAAAATTATGGCCATTGCAACTTTACAACCATTTTTAATGGAGGTTAACAGTAACAGTAACACTAACATTGGTAGTTGAACAATTTAATTTTTTGAACTTATTGTTTTGTAGGCTGATTGAAGTTCCTTTGTAATAATTACTTTTTTTTTAAAAACTGATTTGTAGTTCTTAAAGTGAGAGGGTCTTCCTTTTGCCTGGCTGCTGGCAAGTTGACTTCTAGCACTCAGCATGAGAGCAGGTCTTTAGCTGATAGAGGTAAGTAGGGAATAATTCTTTAACTTGCTATGAAGGTCACAGTTGATGCTCAAACCCGGTTGGTAACTCAAGAAATTTCAGTTCCACTCCAGAAAACTCCCAGGTGGTTGAAACTGGCTCTTTAACCTATTTGTGTTTTTGCTTTGAAGAACACACAAATGTATTTGTAGTTTAGGACATAGTCTGTCGAAGGTAGCTTGCTGTTGAGCAGGGAGTTGTCAGCCTCTCATTATCTATGTATTCACAAGGGATCACAGTTTGAAATTCCCATTAGTCCAATATGTTTTTACGCCAATTATTTTGTTTCTGTGGTAGTCCTCTTTCAGAAAACATGTTTCTATAATTTATATCCATCTCTAAATATTTCCATACATCTGGAAAAACAAATTTTTAGGTTTTTTTTAACACAATTAACCTGCCCACTGGTCGTCGTTAAGCTCAGTGATACAGACTGTATGCCTAAAGTACACCAATTTTCCTGTAGGTGGCAATGTAACACTGGGGTTCGCCTATGACAGTATAACTGAAACATGCAGCTGCTGAAAGTAGTTAGACATTAGTTGTCTAACAACTACCTAATTTCCAATCAGATTTGTTGCAGAGTAAGTGAGAAGGAAGCTTGGGTGTGGGCCTCACCCCTAGGATTGGCAAACTATCCCTTGAAACCTTAACAAATTCAATCCAATGTGTATTTAGGTTTCTTAACTGCCATTTTGGCCTGTTTAATTTCATGTGTCTGGCAGTTTGCAAAGAACTTTTTCTTTAAAACTCTGTTTCCTCATTAAAGGATAAATCTTAAATCAGATGTGGCACACAATGGACTCATTCAACCAGTATTAAGATGAGTTAACAACTTAAGATAAATAGAAATTAATGGGAACTCAGCATTAAAATTTATGCAATTCTGAAGGCTTCATAATATACACATTTTATGATTTACATAGGGAAAGACCTTGAACATTCAGCAATTTGGGTAATAATTCTTTGAGGTTTTATTTTTGAGACACAGGTATTTGTGAATATTTCCTTACGTACAAAGAAAACAATGAGCAAGTTCTTTCAGGACAGAGGAGGTCATCACTAATGTGCTTCATAGAATCAGAATGGATACAGCCCATTAGGAGGCCATTTGGCACACTGAGTCTGTGAATAAAGGGATTCTGGTCAGTTTGCAAACCCCACTGTTATCCACATGGGAAGCAAGAATCTCAAATCTGTTAGACAGGCTCAAGTGCTGAGACTCCTTGATCCTGGATTCCTCTACCTGCTTTGCTTGTAGAACACCCACTTGTTCCTGACCACTGACCGAATTCAAGTAGTTAATCGAAGGGGTGTGACTGCCTCCTGAAACACTGTCCAGGTAATTCTGCCCCTCCCTGGTGTGTTGTAGTGTTTGAAGCTCAGACTCCAGCTCGTTAATTCTGAGCCCGAGTTCCTTGAGCAACCACCACTTGCTACAGAAGTCACTCTGAACAAGAATGGTTCCAACAACTAACTCATCATTCATCATCTGGCCTTGCATCTCTATTTATTTCTTAATTTGATTTTTAAAAATTTCGTACTGGTCTTTTAGGTTGTAACCTTTAAATACTTCCCCTATTTACCTTCAATCTGGAAGTAACCTGTAATAGTCAAAATAGTAGCTATTACCAACCAATGAAGAGCGATAGATCTAATCTGCTCAGTCTCTGGAATTTAGAAGAATGGAAGGAAATCTAATTGATGTATCTAAGATGTTCAAGGGGATTGACAAAGACCATAAGCAATATGGACAGGAGTAGATGGTTTGGTTCCTTGAGCCTGCTCCACTACTCAATACAATCATGGCTGATCTGACACTCCTCATGTCCACTTTCCTGCCTTTCCCCCTATAACCGCCCATTTCCCCTTCATGTTTTAAGAAATATAGTTGTTGAAATTTTTCAATTTTTACTATGTCAGTCTGATGCTGTAAAAATAGATTCAAAGGTACAGAAAATACAGAAGGGAGCAATTTTAACTGTACCTTCAACAAATCACCAAAGAAAAATCAGAAATATAGTTTTGGGTACTACAGTCCTTATAATTAAGATTTCCTGCCTATTCTGAAATACAGGATACTCTTCATTTTTTTCTTCTTTTAATTGGAGAAAACTGGAACAATGTTGATGGAAGTCAGAGTTTGGTGAAGGCATCACTGAATTTAGGAAATGAGAATGCTTAAAGATAGGATCAAAAAAAAGAAGTAGTAATTTGTATATGAATTTCCTCAATTTTTTTATATTGAAAATTAGCATTATGTAATGGTATTTTGGCAAACATTTTTGGAAAATTTCTTGGTCAGTGATTTCTTTGGAAACCAATAGGATTTATGGTACTCAGAGTCTGAGAACAATCCAAGAATGTCGAGTTCTGATGAAAGATCGTCATCCTGAACCATTAAGTTTATTACTGACTCCACTGTTGCTCCTAGATCTGCTAAGCATTTCCATCATTTTCTGCCTTCATTATTTTATCGCAGTTTGTGTGCCAATCAATAGAGGGCAGTAATATTCCATTATTAACATTCCCTACAAAAGTTCAATGTCAGGAATGTGGCAATAAAGGAGACAGAAAGACAAACTATGCAACACAAATTGGGATAACTTGTGTGTAAAAGAACAGATAATGACAGAGTGACAGACTGAAAGACAGAGAGAGATGAGAGAAAGCGAGAATGAGAACTAGGGAGAGACTAGAAGGGCAAATAAATTGACAGAGACAAATTGGAAAAATGATATAGAGAGAATGAGTATTAAGGCAAAACATAGATAAACAAAGGTGGTTGGCTTGCAGGTGGCTGACCAGACAAATGATCCAATATCTGCATCAAGACTCTGTGAAATTCCTGGCACATGGACTTTCAAACTTCCCAGGTAAATCTCATGAGTTTCTGATGGGTAATTCTTCTGCTCCGTGGGTCACTCCACAAGCATGTCTGACACTGAACTAGATTGAGAGACTTTGGACAGTTCCAGGGTTAGCAGATTTGAGGGGTGGGGCTGGGGTTTGGTGGGTGCCATTAAATGCCTTCTATAGTACAAGTGTCTGAGATGAAGTGATACAGGCAGATGGATAAATAATCATACAGAGATGAAAGTGAGGTTTAGAATTACAAAGTGAGAGATAGAAACAGCCACGGGATAGAAAAGGAAGGGAAGACTAAAGTAAAACAAAGCCAATGCAATGGATTGAAGAAACAAAGGCAGCTACTTAAAGAAACAGGTGGAGAAAGTCAGAAAGCGAAATGAAAGAGTGTGGTCAGGCTATAACCAGAACATTGCAGATAGACAATATAAAGCAATGGAGTCATAGAGTACAAAAAGAGCAGGATAGATGATATGACAAGACAACATTAAGAAACAAAGACAGGGACAGTAAAAGAAAAAGGTTGACAGTAGGGGAGATATAGTCAAAGACAGGAGAACACAGAGGAACACATTTTGAAAAAGAGAACAGATGAAAAGGTTGTCAGACCAAGATAAAAGCAGCCAGAATGAGCAAGCCAGAATGGTTCTGGCCGTGAGTTTTCCAATTTGCGTAAAGCTTATTTTAAACAATAACAGGACTATCTGTTTATCATGTGAAATTCCCCATTTGCTTTTCCTCTACTGTTTCCTACCCATTTTATCCTCTGATCTCTTGAGAGCTTTAACTATTGTATGGTGAAGTTCCAACTGCTCTTCACTACCTTATCTATTGGCAATGTTCTAATATGTGCATTATTACAACGAATATCAGGACGGAGGTTATTTGGCCACAGGTTATGGGAGGCATTAAAGCTGAGCCAGTTACTAGCCACCCCTAGCATGATGATCAAAAGCAGAAATTCAGGTTAATTTTAGTTTTCCTAATCCGTTAGTGCTATGTCCTGATTGCTACATGAGATGACATTAAATTTGGCGTTAAGTAATTGTTTCAACAAGATATGTTCACAGAGCCCTGTATAATGCATTTTCTGCACTTTCAGACTGTGACAAAATTATTGGAATTCAATAACATAAGGGAACTCCCTAAGACAGTGCACTAACACCCTCTCAGAACCATCAGTGCCTGTATGTCTGACTGGTTTAATTGCAGAATGTTTT